AGTGAGATCTTGTCTTACACCTTGTCCATCGGCTTTGTCTGATACGACCAAACCATCACATGCAAAACGCAGCTTAGTTGAAGTCTACAATCTGGGTATTTATTTGGGACAAATATAAATGGGACCCGGTTTGATTCATTCCATGACGGGAGGACTGGAGACTTTGTTGCTTCACGTGACTTCAAGCCTGTGAAGTTTTTTCTCAAGTTTTCTGGCAACAACCCACAAGATTCCAGCTAAAGGCCAAAAGAAAGATTTGGCTTTTTAAATGGTGCAACCTCCAAAAAATGACAAGGGGGTGAGCTATCTTTGTCCTGCTCTGTTATCTGATTTTTTAAGCCAATGTAAAACACATTTATAGACATATATGCTGATATAAGTGTTTTGAAGCAGTCATTTTGAACGTAGAGCATGTTGTGCTGGCTCGTTCCCTGTTGCGCAACAAGCAGAATAAATGACGACGTGTTGAGGAACAGATTGTCTTTGCTGGAGCCCCGGTGAATAAAAGGTGCCGTTGCCCCCCCGGTGAACATCTCCCCTTTCTGTGCCTATCAAGAACACAATGTACCCGACCACGAATGACAGGTGACTGTTAGATGTTAAGGTGACGTCCGACATCCCCGGTTCCGGTCCAGTCAGGGACGATGGATCAATTAAACAGGCGCTCGTGTCAGAGGAACTTATGTTGTGTCTGCATTCTGTTTTTCATTATTTTTTGAGTTTATTATTTAAAGAATGATTAACTTTCCTTAAGTTCTGGTAACCTCAAACTACATGTTTCTATTTTTTTTAAAAAGACACTAAGACAATTCTCTGAAACAAGTCGGGTTTTCTTGATACATACAAGTCACATCCGGCTGTTTTGTAATTCATCAATCCACTCTCAATAACTAATTATATTCCATTTCTATAATACTCTATGAGAACCAAATGGACATGTGTGACGACGTTGAATGGAGAAGTTGCACTCTGATCTGATCTGAAGTCAGTTATGCACGTCTCCCACTAATTGTGAAACCTAAAAAGCTCAAGTGGGGCGCGTCAGCGCGGCCCCCAATAACCACCTGCTTATTGATCCATGAGTGCACGAGAGAACGTGGAGTCTGGTAGTAAATTCAAAATGAAAAACCGCCCCACGTGTTCTTTAACCAAGCGGAAAGCCTTTGCATTATTTTGTTGGATGTCTGTTTAAAAAGGAAAATAAATGGTTATTGGTGGCATAGATAACAGGTATATATATACATATATGTATATGCATATATTATATAGATGTAAAATAAATAATTAAACATTGTGGACTATATGTCCAACATATTTGTATGTTTTAAGAATACACATTATTTTTCTCCTATAACAGCCTTCCCACAAAAAAGCCCATTCTGCTCTAATTGGCTTCTTTGAAAACTACAGTGCCCCGTTGCAGGCCGTGGGTGGAGATACTCAGGTGTGTGTGTGTGGGGAGGGGTGAGGTGGGGGGGCTGCAGGTGGAACATGAAGAGGAGCGTTGCGTTGTCTGATCCAGTCAGGGCTCATAAAGCTAACTTGTCTTATTTGAAGGTGTGTTGATTAGTTGGCACTCCAGCAAACCAAATGTAGGTCCACAAGCAACTGAAAGGAGGAGGAGAGAGAGAGGGGGGGGTTCACACCACACTCCCTTTGAGCTCCGACCAGCGCTACAGTGAGGCGAGAAGGCCGTGGGGCTGCTTTGAGGTCCAGCAGGAGCTGCATCCCCTCCCGTCACCCAGGAGACGGGACAGCGAGTCCGCCCGGCCACCAGCACTGCTGCTTAGCATCTCCTGACCTCAACCCCCCCATCCCGCCCCGACCCTGCAGCTGGCTCAGGACCGTCTCCAGAAATGTGGCAGTGAGCTCACATTCAGAGGCTCATTGGCTCAGCGAGGTGTTATTTATTTCATTTTACGGTAGTGTTGGGATTCATTTTGCCATTAATGTAGATCAAAAATGAATATCAAATGCTCGCAATGCAGGCAAATAATTGCAATTGCCACTACCTCAATATTAAAGTGGTTATTTACATCACTGCAGAACATCTGAGAGTTGCGACAAGGCAGAAACCCTGCAAGAGTTCACTGATGTCAGAGAAGCAGAACTAATAATCATTATTTGGAAAGTACTGATTATTATTTCTTCAAGGGACTATTTTTTTTGTCGGTACCAGTGTACCAAAAATGCAACAAAGGAAAACCGTATTATTTTGAGCTTGATGGGGGCAGATTTATAATTAATTGAACAGTGTGGTTTGATTTGTTCTACTTTTATAAGCCTTTCACACGGTTTTCAACAGGGTTTGTATGCAGACGTCTGTATGTTCGTAGTTTAATGAAACGCATTGATCACACTAACTTCTACATTTCTCACTTTTACCAACAAGTAACCAGATATGAGTCATTCCTACGGCTCCACATCGAGGTTCACCACAAAGGGTCGGACTCCCCCGGCAGCGACCGGCCTGCCGTGGACGGACTCGGATGCAGCTGAGGAACGAGGCCCCTGCTGGAGACGCAGGCCGCACTGCGGCCCCTCCGGTGAGGGGGGGGGACCAGCACTGTCGGACCCTTGTTGCAGTGGAAATGGAGGCTTTCTAAAAAGAACTCTGGCGTTTAGAAGCACAACCGCTGCCTGCAGGAACGCCACAATCCAATTAAAAACTTTAGTTATTTAGTTATTAGGAATGCAGAGATGGGTTTTGTGCATCACGCTGCTATATTGACTATTAGGTATTAGGTCATTCCATCAGGTTCTGTTGAATATAAACAAATTATGTGTATTCATAGATTTTTCCCCCTAATTGTGTCCTCGCCGTAGTAACAGATTCATATTTATCTTCCCAGTGATTGATTTTGGAACGCTGTGTAAACGCATTAAAAGGTAAATTAAAACTTGAGCCAAATCGCTGGTTTGCGAACACATACTTGCCAATAAAGCTGTTTCTAGCACACTTTAAGCATTCTTTCTTTCTCTATGTACTTTTAAATGTGTTATTGCTGAGGTTCAAATGTGAAATTTCATACGAGGGTTGGGGAAAAAGGGGGGGAAAATGAAACTACAATTATTATTGGTGTTATTTGTGTATTGTATGAATATCTAGAGAAATATGGATACGTATTTGAAGGTGCAGGTAGAGGAATCAGGAGCACGGTTGTATTTCTGATTAATAAAACTAAATGCTTTGTGACCCAAATAGGCTTTTTTAACCACTACACCCAAACTCCAAAAAGAGACCTGTCCTTCATCCCTAGTCTGAATGCACATGTCGTGAGCGGTGAGCGGTCTTCGTTTGCAGGACGCTGACGCCTTTTGTCCCTCGGAGGATAGCAGCACTTTTCGGGCGGCGACCGGCTGACCCTTCCACATGTTCCAAACAAACAACTGCCCCGTTTAGTGAGATGAACTGCCGGTGGAACCTGTTTCTAGCTCTGCACTGATGAATCCGAGCTGCTGATGGATGAGGCGCTGTCAGGTGGTAGTACGATGTCAAAGTGTTCTCTGGTGCGTGGCAGGTTGTTGGAGCGTGACAAAGGGACGAGGACGAAGTCATGAAATGTTCTGTTGCGAGCATGTGTGTTTCGCAGCAATTTGTTCATTCTACTTTTATGCAACTGCAAAATAATTAAAAAGAGAATCAGATGTACCTTGATATTAAGTCAACTAAAAGATCTTTTTGTTTGTGCGCCGATCAGCTGGTGCACGCACTTTGCAAAAAGACACGAGGCGTGAAAAGGTGATGAGGAAAGTGGTTTCATCATCATGTGATGCTGTAAATGTCCAGCCATCTCGCCACAAACCTTAGGTCAGATAAGCAGTGCACACTGCTGATCCACAAACAAAGATAACAATCTACAAGTGTTTAACAAATAAAAGCAGCATATCACGAGGCCGCTTGAGATAAATAAACACCTGTGATGGGATTGTGGATGTTAAACTTTTGAGTATCTGATTTCTAAAAGTTATTAGGAGGAGATCAAAAATAAATAAAATGTGCGAGATGCAGTTCAATATTTCAAATGATGAGCAATGTTGTCTACATGTGAACATTTTCCTGCGCAGTTCAACACAACTTAAGCCTTTTCCACAGGCGAGGTCCCGGCTCAGAGGCGTGTGTGTGTGTGTGTCATGTGTTGCATTTGCAACACGCCCCTAGTTTGTTATTGTTGGAACATTGAGATCTAGTAGAGACGTGTGGAAACGTCCACATCAACAAGCATGACTACGAGTTTGGTGTCACGCAATTCACCAGGTGACTCCTCACATGTGTGTTTTTGTGACCAACAGCAGTTTGGAGACCAAACATTCATGGAGATTCCTCCATTTCTCCCGGTGAAAGATCTTCGTGGTCATGTGACGTCAACACCACGACTTCAAGACTCGGGATCATAAGACTGTAAGTTGGGTACAGCGAGTGTGCTGCTGCACGTGTGGCGTGAAGATGTGGAGACGCACGGCTCTAAACCTTGGCTGTGAAGTATTCTCCATACAGACAAAGGCCAGCGGCTTTGTTCCCCGTACGAGGCGTGTTTCTAAAATAACTGGTGTCCGATGTCAAGTTCTCCTTTCTCTATTCTTCATAGAAAACCTTTTGAGTTTGCAAAGTCGGACTAGATGACAAGAACAGCGGAGCGGCGTTTCACCGCCTGCCTACCCAGCACCACCCAACACGCAGCTGCTCAGTTTGACATTTTCCACGTAGACCAGTTGCGCGACAGGTTCAAAACGAGTTTGAGTTTTGTTTCGAGCGACCTCACATTTTGAGTATTCAACATAAACAAAAGGAACTATAAAAGTAAAATACTTACCCACTGCTGACCCCTGCTACTTATCGGCCATCCCAGAGAGAGTAGGCGTCCAAGTGTGCGTGTGCTTGGGTGTGATTGTGTTACGTAGTGCCACGATTCACAGAGGAAGGAGAACCTGTGCGGCCCAAAGAGGCCCTTGTGCGTGTTGTGTGATCTGAATGTGTGTGAGTAGCGAATGGTACATACACGCTGTGTTTAACTTAGATGGCGGTATGGGAGTGGCCTGTACTTCTGTGAGACTGGGGTCGCAGGCTAAGGGAGATGCAGCCTCCTCATGCCCATCTTCTTCCTTCATTTCCTCCTCAGCTCTTCCTGCTATTCTCTTTGACATCCTATCCGACCTCTGACCCTGTGATGAAAATATAAAATTAAAAAACAGGTCAAAAACCAACTTCCCCTCATAGTATAAAATGGATTTTGACGCACTGGTTCCCAATTAAATCACAAGCAAAATGTAGAACATATATATTGCCTATACACTCTAAATAAATCTCAGGCTCCATGATGAAGTTTCTTACCTTGGCGGTGGGTCTGGCGGTGACAGGTTTTTTCGGTGGCCGCCCTCGCTTCGGCACCTTTGGACCCGAGAGAGTCTTCATAGTGACGGCAGCGTGCTGCAGGATGCAGTCAGTGCCACAGTACACAGAGTCCTGCAGGGCCTGTTTGGAGCACAGGGGTCCAATGCAAAGGGGAAGCGAGCCGTCTGTCTCCATCTCAGCTTCAGGCTCAGGCTCAGGCTCAGCTTCAGGCTCAGGCTCAGGCTCAGCTTCAGGCTCAGCTTCAGGCTCAGGCTCAGCTTCAGGCTCAGGCCTCGTCATCGCAGCCTCCTCATCCTCCTCTAACACTAGAACAGTCTCCTGAAAACAGAGTCTCATCTTACACCCAGACGGCACACTTCTGTTGCGAAGATCAACCAATGGATAATGATTCAAATAGAATATCGTGATCGAATTTGTTGTCAGAATTCAAACTAAAAAAACTCTACATGTCAAAAAACTGTTTAATTTTGAATTGTAGAAACTGAGGATAACAAAAGGAAATTCTAACCTTGTGAACTTGCTGCTCCTCGCGCCGCTCCTGTTCTCCACCAGGAGGACTCGGCGTCAAGCATCCACGGGGGCTCAGCTCAGGCGGCGGTCGAATGTGAAGCTTCGGTTGAAGTTGGATTCGCATCTTTGTAGTGCAAGGAGGGCAGATGTACTCTTCCCCTTTCCTCTCCATCTTACGGCCCTTTGACGCAGTGATACCAACACAGTCGCCGTGGAACCAGTCCTGGCATTTGTCACAGCAGATCATGAACCTATAAGAAAAGACATTTCAGGAAGTGAAACGGGCAGATGGTTGAGGCATGCAAACCTCCGAAGCCCAAGGGACCTCGTTACCAGAAATGAGCACCTACCGCTTATCTTGTTTTTGTCGACAGATGCAGTACAGAGCATTGGAGTCGGAGCCCTCTGCGTCCGACATGCCTAAACACTTTCTTTTTCTCTTCTTCATCTTATTATCCTCCTCCACCACCTCCTCCGGTGCATTATCATACTGTCCGGGCGCCACGTCACTATTCTGGTCCAAATCGGTGTCGATGACGATGCAGTCGGAGCTTGTCTGCTGAGCGGGACTGAGCGTGACGTCGGAGTTAGAGGAGATCTCTATTTCCGCAGATCCACGAGGATCGTTTTCTTTCGCCTCCTGCTGCGGCTGCTGTTCCAATGGATTGACGAGCATGACCTCGTCGTCGTTGTCCTCATCATCTACCATGCTTGTTTGTAGCGCAGCAGCCCTTCCCCTCCCTCTGCCCCTTCCTCTTCCCCTTCCCCTTCCTCTACCTCTGCCCCTGCCCCTCCCTCTGGCCTTTCCTTTTCCCCCTCTAACCCCTCTAGCTCTTGTGTCTCCCGGTCTGCCTCCCAATGCCAGTTGCTCTTTAATCTGTATCAGAGTCATTTCATCATTGTCCTCTTCTTGACTGGAAATCAACACCACGTCGTCCACGTCCCCTCCTGCAACGTCGTCAGGAGTACACGGTTGAGAGGTCTCCATTTCATCAGAAGATTCGCTATTATCGGGCACCTCTGTGTCTTCTATAACCTCTGCAGGAGGAACCTCGATGGAATCCGTGGCTCCCAAAATGTCCGGAGCTGCCAACGCATCGGACATTTTCATCGGCATGTCCTCGGCGCCGCCCAGCAAAGTGAAGGCAGTGTGGAAGGCAGACCCAAAATCTTGACCCCACGGGTCGAGGCTCCCTCCTGCAGAAGCTTCTGAGGCGGGCTTGCCCTCTTCTGATACAGGGGATGATGGGGCGGACCACTCAAGCTCATCTAGAACACTCTTGGTTGCACTACTAGTTCTTTGGGGGGAGTGGGTTGCTGTAGTGGGGGGGGACGTCTGGTTGCTTCGACGACTTCGGCCTCTGCGTACAAGTGGGGGACTGTGGGTCAGCTCTCCCACTTCATCCAAGAACTCCCTTTTAGCGATGGTCGTCCTCCTGAAGCCCCAGGACTTTTTAACCTGCGACATGGTCGGCCTAGCGCTTGATTCTGCCTCTTCGGATTGGCTCTGCTGGTCCTCTATATGAAGAAAAACACAGTCAGCCAAAATACATCGGTTTCATGTTTACCTATGGCCACCAAAGAATGCGTTTCACCTGCGTTATCGCCATCAGTGACGCTATTGTTTTCCATTGGGTCCATTTTGGCATCCACAGGTAGCGACGCTGTCAACGCACAGACGTGATTTGTTAGCAAACAGTTTGTAATAAGTTGGATGAGGAATAAATGACCAAAAGAAGGGACCAGTGGAAGAAGAACGCTGATGGCTCCAAAGCCCTAATTTTAACGGGCAAAGATTAATTCCTCTCATATCTGCTGACATGGCCATTTAATTAATACGGAAAAATTCGATCAATTATTTGTTTATTCAAGCAACTGAATCCAATACAGTCAAACACAGCAGCCTGCGATACATTATAGCATTGTAAAAGTAATAAGGATCGGCCTTTGTTAAAACTGCTGAGGGTTAATCAAAACAGTAATACAGTAACCAAAGGTTGTGTGCACATCTGCAGGCTCGATGACGTCACCTTGGAGCTTTAGTTTATCCAATTATAAAAAACAAGACGCGCTGCAGATGGACAAATTAGTGCATTTTTAGGTTTATGTAACAAACGAACATGTGATGACAAGCACGGTGTCCGGCCTTGTGTCCAATTAACTTGTGCATTAATCCAAAGGTGACTATATTCATATTATTGGCTTGTATAAAATTGCGTTGTTCCGTGCAGCGGGCCTGAATATCTGACCCATCTTTAGTTCTGGTGCAGACTCTTCCTGTAGTAGATGGTGCAGTTATCTCGTCCACGGAGGTGACCGACTATGTGGGAAATCCACCAAGTAACACATTTACACTCGTTAGCTAGTCACACGGACGAACGAAAGGCCCTTACTTATGCCGCTGCAAATCTCAGTCTGCTGCGAAAGGAGAGAAGATGAGGATCCTCTCCTGCGACGACTATCGCCGCTCTCTGCACTTCATTTAAGCTAACGTTAGCCTAGCTGCTAGACTACCCGCTAATGCTGCGAAACGGTCTCCAACGGGTCCTGAACCACGATTACATGTTTCGTGAGTATACGTCAACAATGTAAGAACAATTTGAATCGTACCTTGATTCGTAATGCTTATTTTCCAGTTATTAAAGGGTTCGCTCAGCTAGCCAGCTAAGTAGGCTAGCAGTCTTCCATTTTCTCTGCATCGCTCTGCTGTTTCGTAATCTCGCGAGAATTCCTCCTCACAGGCGGAAAGCCCCGTGACTTTAGCAAGAGCTCGTTTGCTCTGCGGTCATTTCCGTAGAAAAAGGTCCGAGTGAATCAAGGTGATCGGAGCCTTTTTTAAAACGTTTTCTCCATTTATTGTATTTACAATATGTAAACACGAACACAAACTCAACTCACACATGCGCACAGGAAATCATGTCCATCCAGAATGCAGTTTCTAATTATTCCTGACCATTTCTTAACAGTCTGATGAAGATTTAGGCCAGTTTTGGATCACAACTTAAACAGAAGCTTCACTTAGAACTGACATTCATCTGAAGTAATTCATTTTCCAATTTTTATTTTAGTTTTTAGACACACTATAAACATAAACATACTATAAAAACATATAACACTATAAATATTGTTCAGGTATTTTCTTACAAAAACTGTACAGTTTACATTTTTCAGTTCGTTTTTTTTAATAAATCACACATTTGTTTTATGTAGGTCTATACAATGTTTTAACAACAAAACAAAGTTGGTATGAGCCAAAAATGCCCTCGCTGACAAAGTTCAAAACGTTACATATGGACTTGCATTGACAAAAATATCTCATTTGACAATAAGTGGACATGGTTTGAAACAAAGATAAAACTTGCATAACTCAACATACTTCTGATGGCACCATAATGAATGAATAGATGAATGAATAGCAACTGTTGGTGGCTGTTTTTGTCTCATAATATTGAGATCAGTCCACTAAATGATACAGCAAGTAAGTACTTAAGAGCAGCATTGGAAAGTGTAGATATTCTGTGGGTCGATACAATCTTGTTCAGACTTGAAACAAAGTGGTAACAGAGCTATAACAAAACTACAATATGAAAACATACCACCTCACATTTTATTTCTCAACACATTACTTTCACATTGTGAATCCACCCGAACACAGACGACTTGTGGAAACTGCGAATGAGAGATGGAACAACAACAACGACGACGACAACAGAAGAAGTCCAGCAAGCAGACGCACACATGGGAATGGAAAGGAATCCAAAGCGGTGCGTCACAGCGCCGCAGGCCTTCAAGCACCAAGTTTGACACCGTGGGCCCCCGCAGCGGCCCGGCGAAGGAGCGGCAGAGTCCGTGTAGTGTCGCCGTTAGGTCACAGTAACGCCAGCGCTGTCCTTGCTCTTGTCAATGAACGCGGGGGGGTTGCTTTTGTCCGCTGGGGGCCCGGCGCCGGAGGGCAGCGGCTGCTTGGGGGGCGAGAGGCTCGACGTTTTGACCGAAGGGTCCGAGTTGGACTCCCCTTCTGGCTCCTGCTGCGGAGCCGTGGCTGCAAAAGGGAAAACAAAGTATGAACTGAGAGGGTGGAAACTACATCGGCATCTTTTGCCTCTTCTGAACCCCCACAGGTAGAGAGAGGCCGTATTTATATCTGTATTTGTTATTGCAAATTCATACTTTTTCCCATTCTGTGAGATATATGAACTTTTGGAGGATTTAGTGCTTGTGGTGAAGAGGGGCTGAGCTTATTGGAGGAACAACGTCACATCCATTATATATTTTACATTTATTGCAAGATGCTATAGCATGAAAATAGAAAGCAGGGAAGCCTTGGAATTTCCATTTCCCGTTTAATTTAAATGCAGTAGTCTCTTTCAAAACAATAAAATAAATTTCACATTAGTGAATGGAGATTGTCTTTCAATTCAAACCTGGATGCCGTTTAGTAATATAATTTTTTTTTTAGCATATTGTCCCAAACAGTCATAAAAGTTGATGATATCTGCAATACAGTAACTGAATATTGATTCATATTTGATCAGTGCTGCAGGCTGACTGAATTCGACAGTGATTGACAGACTCCTTCGCTCTGATTGGTTGTTTTTCTTCACTTTAAAATGAGGCAGAGGAAGCGGGTTCTTCCGATTATCCGACTCCTGTACTTCTGTCAGGATATAGTGACGGCTTCATAAACGGTTATTCCTATATAAGCTACGAAAGACATCTTTAATCTACTTTTTCACAAAAGCAACAAGGAAATTAGAATTATATATGTTTAATAATACACAAGAAAAAGTCAGACATTAAAGTACAAAAGCTTTAAAATTTTTAACAAATCTGGTTAACATCGGGAGAATTATTCATCCCGATGGCAGAGAAAACAGTGTATAATCCTCAACAGTGTATTACACAATAACTTTACCAACACGTGTCTTTCATATCAAGTAACACATCAGTTTGGATCACAGAACTTGGGGATTTTATACTCGGTGCCTCGTCTGCAACAGAAAACACTGAACTGGGGAAGTGCTCACACTGAGAAGAACGCAGCAGCAGCGGTAAAATACCGTCACCCTGCCGCTAACATCCACTTTAAATAATAAATAACAAACAGTAAAATACTTTAGTGTATATTTTTGGTCTCTGAATATCTGCGGCAGACAGATTTGTCAAATAATCTCAATTTAATGTAATAAATTAGCCCGTTTTCGTTAATAACCGCAGTGCGACGACTTTGTGCATCGCTGCACTCAACACAACAGACTGTGTCCACATTCAGTCCTCTCTTGACCCCTAGTGTGCTGTGAGTGTGGACATATTACCTGACTGTGTGCAGGACTTCATGTGTTCTGGCCAGTGGGCCTGCTGGCAGGGGTAATCACAGTAGCTGGTGTTCCAGCAGCAATAGAAGATGGCCTCCTTCCTGCAGTTGGCGCACCACTGTTTCTTTTTGGTCTCGTCCACCAGCTGCTGCTTCTCCACCTCCGTCTGCTTTTTCACCTCAGCCACCAGGCGTTCCCGCTCCTGCTCCAGGCTCTGCCTCATCTCCGCCATGGTCAGCTCTGCAAATAAAGTCACAACTAGTTGAAAACTGTGGTCACGTGTGTTCCGAAAAAATATTCATATAAAACCTTTTTTTTAAAAAGCCCGTACCGAGATTGTGCTTCATCTCGGACAACTCCTGCTGATGCAGCCACTGGAGCTTCTCGATCTCGATCCTTAGCCGTCGGATCTGTGGCCAAATTACACGGAGATCAGAACTTGCCGAGTGTCATTATGACATGTTAAAAAAAAAAAAAGCATCAGCCTGCAGGCCAGAATTCACCTCTGCAATTGTGTTTCCTGATGTGCTTTTGGAAAGATCGTTGTAGATTTCGGTCATTGTCCCTTTTATTGTCTCCATCATCTATTAGATTGTTTTGCATAACAGAAAGCGTGTGAGGTTAACCAACAGTTTTAACCACTTGTTATAAAAATTTTAAAAAGGAAAGACAGAAGTTGTTGAGTTAATAGAAAGTAAAATTGGCCAAATTACTTTGTTTGTGTACTTGGCTATATCCGCAGCCACCTCCGCCGAGCCTGTCGGGATCTGCACGTCTCCCGACGAGGAGCCGCCAGACGTGACCTGGGCGGTGGTGGACGAGGGGGAGGTACTCTGAGGCACGTCTTTTTGACCTGCGTCGGGACCAAGGGGGAATAATACATCCATCAGTACACAGTTTATCTCTTCCGTTTACGTTTACGTCCGATGGCGCCGGCGTGCATGTACCCTTGGCAGCTTGTCTGGTCTGATAGCGGCTGCTCGTGGAGTTCTGCTGTTGCGACGGCGGCCGCTGGGGGCTGCGCGTCCCCGGGCTCTGGGCCGCCGTTTCCCCCGGCGACTGCTCTCCTTGCTGCTGCTGCTGCCTCTGCACCTTCTGCATGTGCCACTTCTGAGACGACGTCTGGAATTTGGTCGGATTCCAAACCACTGCTCGCTGCACGGCCTGAGCGGTCTCCTTGGGCAGCAGAGGGCGCTGTTTCTTCACGGCCGCGGGCAGCGGGGACGTGGCGGAGGCCGAGGTGGAGGCCGGGGAGGGGACGCCGGGGGAGCCGCTGGTTGCCGAGGTGGCAGCGGGCTGGGCGGAGGCCGCAGGGGAGACCAGGTTGAGGGCCGCTGGGACGGCGTGCTGCAAAGCGTCCTTCAGGTTAGGGGCGGATTCCCGGGACGGAGCGGCTGCTGCTGCTGCAGCAGATGAAGGCGGTTTACCTGAACAGAAGACCAACAACAAGTGTGAGGAATTCGGAGTGTGTAAATTGGGCCCTTTAAGCCCAAAAAGGAACAGGATTTTTTTGATGACATGCAAAACTGGAGGAGTACGCCAATCGTTTCCACCGTCCATTAACAGGTGGAAGTTGGCTCAAAAAATACACTCCACATAATATGATAAAAAGTGAGGTTAGAATTGAGGTCAGCAGCCCTCTCAAGCCACTACTCTAACGCATGTGAAGAGTGGGTTACAACAGCCACTGGCATAACATACCAGGACCTCTGACCAAACTTTTTCTGCTTGAATTGCATTGTGGGTAATGTAGATTTTGGCAAAGAAGAAGTGGAAATTTTATTTTGAAAAAGGACTTTCATTGAAGCTTAATGCACTTCTGTCTCTTGTGTTGACATTTTGGGGGTCTTATCTCCTCCAAGTCACAAAGAGGACCACAGGGGACAAATGGACCCAATATGTGCAAGGCCTCACCTTCCAGCTTGGCAGGATTCGGCTCTTTGACAGCTTTAGCCGCAGTAGCCCCCGGCTCTCTCCTCGCCCTCTTCGAGTCACGGCCTCCGTGTTCATCTCCCAGGTCGATCACCAGCTCTCTCTCAGAATCAGAGTCCTGCTCTGCCGCCGCCGCCGTGGCAGCGGCTGCTCGGCCCTCCTCTTGGGCTTTGGGTTTGTCGGCGGGGGGCTGCGTCGGCTTATCCTGGAGGCCCCGATCGGGGACACCGGCGGCCTGCTTGTCTTTAAGCGGCGGTTCCGGCGCGGCTTTACCCGCTTTCCCCGTGACTCCCTCCTTAATCTCTCCATCCGTGTTTGCTTTGGGCCGCTTTCGGTCGGCTTTGTCGTGCTCGTCCTGGGCCGAGTTCTTTGGCTTGTGCTCCTCGTCGCTGAGATACTCGCTGTCACTCGAGTCGGATTTCTCAGAGTCGTCAGAGTCACTGTGATCCACACCTTTGTACACGTCCTCGGAGATCTCGTCTATCCCTTGAGGGAAAAACATACATTTGAAGTATGAAAAAGAGTTTGAACACTTTCTGTCAGACAGAGAGAACAGAATTAAAAGTATTTAGTAGCTAATAGTGTTTCCAAACACCGACTTTAAGTCAGTAGAAGCCGCACCTCGTTTGATATCACATGCGTCAGCTTTTGGGGTAAATTTAGTATTTAATGTTGAACAAGAATATTCAATTAGGAAAAACAGTCACTCATAATTTACTGTATCTGAATCTTAAAAAATATTTTTCCCTGGTAATGCACAACAGAAAACAGACCAAATAAAAACAGAAATATCTGTTTCTTTTTGTACAGTATGAGAAGACGATGGATATGTACCCAGCTGTGCCTTGCAGCTCTCAATTGTCTTGTCCAGGCTCCTGATGGGCCTCTTTGGGGTCGGAAGGGAAGCCGACGCTCCTTGTTGCTGCTGATTTTGCTGTTGTTGTTGTTGTTGCACGGTCTCACTCAGCTCCTTCAGATCCATCTCAGCCTTCACCCGATCTGAAGGGAAACGTTCAATATCAGTAAGTACAAGCCGACATTGCGGCGATCGTTGTTCTTTTGAACATCTTCATCACAGTATATTTGTTCTGTTGGAACTGACCCAGGTTGAGATTGAGGATGCCACCTGTGCCGGCCGTCCTCTCCTGCTTGGGGACCAGTCCCGGGTTAAAGGGCTTCGGGCTGCCCGACGCGTTGCCTGCAGGACCCGTCTTCCCCGAGACCGGAGATGCTGTGATGGCAAATGGTAAACAGCTTTTTAAAAGAAGGACATGGCCAATTCAAACTGGGCCCCAATAAGCGATTAGCCATTTTACACATAAAGTGAAGTCGAGTTCCTGCAGGTTCAACCGCCTTTCACGCCATCATTTAATAACCTGCCGTCATAGAAGCATCAATGTCCATTTACCGGTACAGTCCATTGATTCCTCCCCAGTGCTGTAGTGGAAGGCCGGATTCCTGCCAGGCTTTTCCATGTCCTGCTCCCCATCGGACCCCGTGTGAACCGAGGAGTTGGTGCTCATGGGAGACCGGGGCATGTCCGTCATCGAGACCCGCCGACTCATGCCGCTGGGCGTGGAAGTCTTGCTGAGGACCATCTTAGGAGACGCAGTCATGTCGAAGTTGAAGCGAAGCTTATCCGCCTTCTCCGTTTTCACGGTTCCGGCGCCGGGGTTGGAGGGGTCCAGCAGCATCTGGAGCTGGTTGTTGGGTGTGAAGGGAGTGCGGAAGGGTGCATAGTTGAAGACCCCGAATTTCTTGCGAATGTTCTCCACGTAAACCTCCATCTCCTGCATGGCGCTGTTGAAAATGCTCTTGGTCTTCTTCACGGAGAAGGGGATCTCTTTGGACATGAGGTAGCAGTTGTTGATGGGGACCCAGGCCCTGCGTGCAAGCACCACAAAACATTCACTGAATTACGACGACCACGATAATCAGTTAGCAAATTAAGTTTTGGTTCCAACAAGCCAAACGGCTTCAGATCCTCTGTGATGCTCCAAGGCGTCGCTCACCTGTCGTGCTGCCCGAAGAAGCGTGCGTCTACCTGCCCGTCCTTATCCCGAAGTGCTTTCGCTGGCCAGAACGGAAAGCCCTTCAGCTTAGCCCAGACCAGAGGGTGGGGCGGACTCTGTGGGGTACGAAGCAACAACGATTACAAACCCCACACCCCAAACCGCAGCTAAAGTGCATCGATGTGCTTAGGGCGGAGTAAGGACCTACACATGGCTCACAAAACCAGTTGTCCCTTTTTTGGACGGAAGACAGGTAGCACTCTGGACACACCTCAATCTCATTCATCTACAAAAACATTACATTACATTAGTATATAAATCAGACACATTTACCCCAATGTTTGCTAATAAGTCATTCTTTACCTCGTGTTCACAAATCTTCACGATAACTTTTGCAGTTGCTGTTAATTTGTGATTACCTGAAATATAGTCACCTTAAAGTCACATTCTTGTTATTGTCAATCAGCAGAGTCGAGGGATGTCTGACACGTGTGCACATGGCCTACCTCCGTTATAGATGATGCAATTGTGTAAGATCCATTTCATGTCAGCAAGAAAGGCTTCAGTGCAGCCATACATTTTCTTTTTGATATTCTATTAAAAAAAAGGTGAAATAATCAAATTAATGACGAGATACTTCACTGAAAATATTCAACATTTTATGAACTTGTCCACACATTTGTATCTGTATTTCTCATTTTTCCCAGGACAACATTTGTTCTATATGTTTCTTGTTTAATGTGGTACTTGTATATTTTATGCTTTGTGCGAATGCCGCACACATTATATGTAGTATATACACACACAAACATACACACGTATCCCCAATAAGACTTTACAGGTGTTTGCTGTCCTGATTTATTTTACCATTGTATCTTCAAATAAACATCAATCAAACACAATATTACCTTTTCTAAAGTAGACAGGTCCATGGCGTGGAAAATGTACTCTGCGTAATCCGGGTGCTGTTCCAGAGACACCGGTTTCTGAAAAGGTTCCGTCTGGAAGAATAAAAAAAGATGATCATTTAGCCCCAAAAGTGTCATGTGTGGATACATTTCTTGGAATTTGTTTGTGCACGAGACTAAATTCATGTTAATCTTATTTATACAGCTTAACATCACAAATTTGCACAGAGAAGGTATCATCTTAACAGAATTGGTTGGATCGTGAGAAGACTTACCCCAGGCTGCTTAATCTTTTGAAGTGCAAATTTGAGCAAGTAGGAGAGCTGGTCTATTGTCAGCATCGTCATTGCTTTGCTCTGCGTTTCGATGCATTCGGCAACTGTTATTTTCTGCAACGATAATACGATGTTTTAAATAATGGATCGCCCATAATTAAACCAGCATACACCGAAAGGACATCGGACCTCATTCACCAACTGTCTCCTGAAAAACCCACTTACATGGTTTTCACGCAGCTTCTGAAAATAATCAGTTTATTTGTGATCGGATCTTAAGAAGAAACAGAAAGTGCAGAACTTCTGACGCACCAGATGATATTTTACCTAACTTATAACAAATCCTCATTCCTATGCAAATCCTGGTTAAATCATTTGCTCGTAGTAGTCAAGTGGTCCTCTGGCAGAGTAAACCATCTCCTCGTAGACGTTCATGTGACGGACAAATGGGCTCAATAAAAAGAGCTTTATGCTGCACCGTGCAAAGCATTACAATAAAGTCAATCTCTTAACAGCATTTAGTGCAGGATTTTTGATAGTTATTTTCGTATTTTCCCCTGGCACAAATAAAGAGGACAACTTGAAGTACTTCCACGGCACTGGCGTTTGTTTTGTTGTTGTTTTGTACGCTTGTGCTTCACCCGTTTTAGCCTTTTGTCCGGGCGTTTCAGTGTGTGTGTGTGTGTGTGTGTGTGCCGAAGGCCGTTCATTCTCATGCCCTTTCATGGAGATCGGCAGGGCGTTTACTGATAACAATCAGCAGGCAAACACGCACACACCTTGAATTTAAGGAGACGATAGGATTTGTCATTACAAGGAAACAGGAACAAACAATTCTGCGGTTCAAGAATATGTTCTGAAACTGCCAGAGACTTTTCTCAGTAATAAAAAAAGTGTCAGTGAATGAGGCCCACTGAAACCCGTATGAACAACCTGAACTTTTGTTCAGTTCATCAGGCTTTCTTCTGTTTCAGCTTGTACAAATTATTTTGCGCCTTAAAAGAAGTGCATAGCAAATTCCCCTCCCCCCCGAGCAGTTCAAAATCCCAATTTACGAACATCTCTCGAACTCGCCGTGTGAGCGGTCAGCCTGCCGGGGGGTTTCACACCGGGCGCCGCGAGAAAGGCCTGAGCGCCCTGCAGCTTTTTGGATCAACCCGCGGACAAAAGCGGGGAGATCTCACAGATTAGCTCCTTCTTCTCTGAAGCTGCACGCGACACCCGAGTCGGACACCCCCGGTTTGTCAACCGCTCGGCCACGCGCACACACGCACACAGATACACGTCTCCTGCGAGATACCTCACACTCGGGACAGAACCAGTCGCCCTCGGGCTCGGCTGGTAGTTTGAGGCACTTGGCGTGGTACACCCTGGGGCAGAGCTCACAGCAGAGCACCTGGCCCTCGCGGTGGCACAGCCAGCAGTAGAAGTCGTTCCTGCCGTCCTGCGGTACGACGTCGACAGGGTCTGTGGTGAGTGCTGGCTGCTTCATGTAGTAAAAGGGGCCATGTCTTAGCTCGGACTGAAATGTGGGCGAGAGAAACAAAAAAAAGAAGGTTTTAAAAAAAACACAATACAGAAAAAAGGTGCAGAGCAACAGAAACAAGACAGCAATATAAAGAGATGGGGGAAGCAGGGTGAGAAGCATAAGGGGAAGTGGAGGTCATTAACCACACAGGCTTTACAGCAAATAAGAAAAAGCGACAGTTTAAACTGTGAGCCAAACCAGAGTTACCCAACTGCTTTCTTGTGTGGGATAATAATAATAATAATAATAATAACTAGAAAGCTAACATTTCAGAGCTAACACAGGTTGGGTCGTTTACCATCAAAGTGCATAACGCTTTCATTTCTTGTTGAAAAAAGGACGTAAACGACCAAAGGTGATTAAATTATGCAGAGTAACGAGAGTGTGAGGCGGAAATGAAATAAATGCACTTGTGTCCCCGTTCCAAACCTACGAGACACACCCGTCACTCCCACGCGTCCAAACCGGTTTGTCCACCTCTAAGCTAACAGCACGCTGCCCTCCAGATCTAAATCTGTGTGCTCTCGCAGGCAGTGTGGAAGAAGTAACGCGTTGAACTTTGACCCGTGCCGTGTGTGTGCAGGGCCTCCAGTTTGTTTGCTAAAAAAAGAGACTAAAAAGGTCCCAGTAAAACCCTCGTCTTTAAACACACCTTGTTTGTGGCTCTCCTCAGGTGTCAAACTAAAAAACGGCTTTTAGGAGAGATTTAAAGACCGGCCAACAAGCCCCACTAGATTCTTCTTTGAGAATCCTAAAGCCGATATTGTTGAGTAATCGATTAGTAGAATTTAGGAACCAAGCAACACTGTAAATCTGCTGCTTACTAGAAATGTGCCCAAAAGAGTCAGTAAAATAAGTTGTTTAGCATGAGAAAAGAATATTTAAAAAAAAAAGTCTAACCAGCTAAAGGAGTCTGAAATGAGTTTAATGTCACACTGAAAAGACGGAGGAGTAAAAACCGCGAGGTGGTCTTATCGTCTTAGTTTAGGAGCACTCTCTCCGGCTCGCCCCCACTATCTGGAGTGAGAGGACGGGCCGCCCGCCGCGGCAACTCACCTGGTCTTTGCTGTGACAGTTGACGGCCCCGGGCTTCTTCTTCCTCTTGAGGGGGCTGGGGGAGGTGTCCGAGGGAGAGTGCCCGTTGGAGGAATGGGTGGGGCTGGACGCCTTCCTCTTCTGTGGCGCCGCGGTTCGTTCTGCTGACCCCGGAGGATCCGCCACTGGAGGCAGAGAGACAATCGGAGGTTCGCATGGCGGGGGACACAGGCCCGTATCGGTCACGGCACACACGCTTAAGATGATCTAAACACACCGCAGCAATCTAGCCACTAGAATAAATCAAAACATAAACCTTAGTACGGCATCCCCATAATCCCACATTCTTAATGACACAAAGTTCAAACTCAAATTGAGAAATTTGGCAATCGAATGCAGTGCTGAGCTCTTTTCGTCATCGGGTACCGACAGCCATCGCGCTGTACAGAAGCAATAATTGATGATGCCACTTATTTACTTATTATGCCACTACTTCATGGTAACAAATAGCTGGAGGCCTCCCCCCAAACCAACGGCTTAAACCGACTGTTTATACTTGACACAAATTCTAAAACGGGCATCCTGGATTATCTTTTGCGGCCCTCGTAGCACACAGTGGATAACCTTCACGCTGAGGAGTTCGGCGCCTGGCGAGAGGCGCTCGGCCTGGGAGACTTACCCTTGGCTCGTGCGGTTGCGTCCATCCCCTCTACCACATCGGACTCGGTCTTTATCTCCTCCTCAGCCAGACTGCAGAGCGCCGAACAAGAGCCACCCAGGAAGAGAGGCAAACACAGAGTCAGACAGGGTGCTCGGGAAGCACAAATCGGCGAAACAGTAAACAAGTGGAACACCACCTAAGGCAACGGGACCCCAGAGGACCCGGCAACTGGGACTCCTGCCGCCCCTGTTATTGTTTGCAATTTTTTTTTTCCGCACATCCCCGACATCACGCTACCAGGTTCAAAACCATTTACGCGTCACCGGTGACAAATGACTCTGGATGGGTTCTTTATGTTCCAAGAAGGGAGAATGGCGGCGGTCGCCATGGCAACGCTCCTCTCCGCTAAGCACAAGTTGATATTCAAAACAACACAGGGCCGTTTTATCAGCCTGCAACTCGGTCCTTTAGGAACAAGTGCAGCTATGGATTGTGGTCCGATGAAGCGCCCGTCTTTGTTTTTATATATATATATATATATATATAATGGCCGAACAGACCTTTGATACGGAGGGAGCCGTGAGGAGCTGCTCAGAACTACTCGAGGAACACAGTCTCCCGACGAATAACAGTACGCGTTTCTACCAACTCCCCGCCTCCATCGGTAACAGGACTTGGACCCCGTCCATGGAGACCGTTGGACTGGCAAGAACTGATTTCCCAGTTCACCAATCCTGCTCTCGTCTGGCAATAAATGAAAGTCTTTGAGTATGTGGCTCCTCCTTTGTCAGATCAACAGAGGGCCTTGTTCCAAGGATGTAGCCTTTATTCACAAGCCCCGGGGAAGAAATCCCCCCCCCGCGGACCCCTGACCGGTCACACACTCGACCAGTTCACAGCGTTTGGCTGCAGCTCTGGTTTCCAGCCACGATGATGGGTTTACAGGCCACGACTCAAAGGTCAACCGCAGTTGCTGGATAAGCTTTGTGTGTTGTTTTTTTTTCTTCTTTCTCTCTTCTGCAAGTAAAGGAATGCTCTTCACGACCCCTCCTCCACCCGTACAAAGACATTCCCCACAAAGTTCATCAAATGTCAGCGCTCTGGTAGACGCAGGGAGGCTGAAACGTGTCCTGAAGGGATTAACGAGTCAGATCTGAAGAACCCAAAAGAGATTTCATGTGATCACATCAGCTATTAAAACCTGCACTCATTTAAATACCGAGTCAACCTTGAGGTTTCCTGCACAATCTTGGTTAAACACTGATTACATTCTGTCTACCAGACTACATACCAGATACCGTGACCAAACAGACACCTCAAGGCTCTTCTGAGTACAGTCCTTGTTCTCTCGGACCATCAGAGTGAAACTTAAAAAGAACAAATGCACCAACTCCTCTGCCTGAAAAGAAAAAGCCAAACATGGCTGCAGAGTTTCTTAAAAAAAAAAAAAAAAAAAAAAAAAAGGGCACACGTTGTTTCAGCCTGCCAACACACACACACACACACACACACACACACGCACACACACGCACACACTAACCCCTCCCGGGGCCTTCCTGTTCCGGACTGGGTGAACAAACGAGGCCCACACGAAAACGCGCCTGCGACAGCCGAGCGGCTCTGCTACGTTTACCACTGAAAACAGAGAACATCCAGCAGCACCACGGAGCCACGACACTGAATAACATGCACACGCTCAGAGCAGAGACGTTGCCACCGGGGCGACCGATACTGAGAAGAAGAAGAAGAAAAGAAAAAAAAAAAAAAAAGGTGCATGCTGATCCAGAGGACTTTCTCAGATCACGAGCTGTGATCCACCACACAAGGAGAGTTAGGCAAATAAATCCACAGCAGATTCTGGGACATATTCCAGAGAGACGCGGGTTCAAGAAAACACCGAGAGTATTTCCCCTCTGCGAGCAGTACCTGATGGACAAAAAAAGGACACACTGACTCAATGCCTTTGGATTCCACTCCACTGAGAGACGAGCAGGGTTCTCCCGTCACAGAAAATGGAGGCCACAGCTCGCTCCCCTCCCCCCGCTCCCCCATCCCCCACTCCGAGGCTCAGGCTCCAGCACTGGCACATCCGTGCAGAAGGACCGGGAGAGATCTGTGAGAGATTACTGTCCAACATTTGACAAAATGAGAAAAGAAACACGGCCGTGTCAGGACAGACCTCCGGGCGCCGATCACAGCGACGGAGGACACGAGAAAATCCAGGGAAAGGAGAAGCACCCGTCTCCCTTTTTCTTTTTTTTCTCCTTCTTCTTCTTCTTTCTTATGTCTTCGATCTTGGCGTGCCTCCTTCCCTGAATACTGCTGTCATTGAATAATTAGATTTCATCTTGAAGAAAAGGGAGAGCCCGTCTGTGGGAAGCCACGCCGAGATCGCGGCAAAGCCGCGCTCTCTTCTCTGTACTTTAAAAAGAATGTGCAGTTGACTGGCGGCAGACGGACGAACGGCCTCTCCGCATGGCAGCCGAGGGAGAGCCGCTCAATGCAAACATCATTATTGCCCTCTCTGCTCTGAAACCCTCGGGATTAACACCACGGACTGCAAAACATCCTACTCACTGTGCTACACAAAACCCCAGAGACACTATCGGGGCTCGTGGAAAGACGGCCGCGCGCAGAGGGAGAAATGGACACTATTGACTTCTGTTTGCCCTGAAATCCACACAAACACAAACAATTTAAAGCATACGGCACGAGATGGCACTTTACATACAATAAAAATGTACTTTAACGACTTCAGCGCGACCCCCTTCACAAGATCGACCCCAGACTACTCTACGAGAAACACAGAACATAAAAGGTTTGACCTGGGTTTTTTATAAAAAGGGTGAATCAAAGATGGCTGTGGAATTTTCCAGAAGGCCCTTGCTCTCCCTGCTGCTCTCCCTCCGATTGTCAATCTTTAACCTCAACCGCGCCTGCAATTGGCTGGAGGGCCGACAGGGTGGAACGTTATTGGTCAGCTGTGCTACATACGAGCAGTGTGCCGGCTCCCCTCTTCCTCCTAAAAAGCATTTTTTGCTGCAATGCAGAGATCTCCCCCCCCCCCCCCCTCCTGCATTAGAGGCTTTATTATTCCTTCACTTTTGCTTGCCCTTCTTCATTATGACAGTATAAACCAGAAGGGATTTGAGAAAAAAAAAAAAAAAAGGCCCCTCTGGGAGATTATGTGTGTGGGTGTGATGCATAACTCGGCGGCTGTGCCATTTAAACGCTGTCCTGTTTGTCCCGACGCAGCGACGTTACACAACGCTTCTAAGTATCAGCCGAGCAATTACATCAGCGGCTCGAACGAAGAGCTGTGGAGTGAAGTCATTACGGTACACGTTTACTTCTGGTTTGGGGTTTTTACGGAGTGAATGAATCAGTGTGAGAAACACTGATTGTAACGTCACTAGTTTCTGGCCGTTGAATTGAGATCAAAACACGGCTTGCAACGAAAACACAAACTACCCACCGAGTTCAGACTGCTGAAATGCTGATACATCGTGCGACACAACGAGCGCTCTACAAAATACATAAAGGCATCATAGATCATCATAATATACATGCTTTTTCAAAACCGGTGTCTTACTAATGTCTATTACGTGTGTAAAACTGAAGAGAAAAAAACCCACAGTACCACAACAGAAAATACTGCAGTATATGCAAACAACACGTACACAGACACACACATTGTGTAAAAACCTGATAGGTCTCATGCTGTTCCTCTGTCCCTGCAGTCTGCTGTGTAAGAAGAGCTCTCTACTACACAAAATGGCCACTGTGTGTGTGTGTGTGTGTGTGTGTGTGTGTGTGTGACGACTGGAGAGTGGAGGAAGCAGTTTCACAACACGTCTGCACAGAAGGGCAAAGCCCGGGCCGCCAAAACCCAAGGCCCACCGACGTAATTAGAAATAACCCCCCGTCCCAAGGTCTCATTTCCCAACGACCCGACTGGAGGAGGATTTCCCTTCCACTAACAGGTTTGTTTTAACGTTCGCTCCAACTCAGAAACTCCATTTATCCTCCTCTACTGGTTTTCTTTCAATGTATTTTATTGAAAACAGTTCTGTAGGTTATGCTCTGCAATCCTTGTCCTCCTCACGAGTACGTCTGTTGCCCCCCCCCCCCCCCCGCGCGCGTCTATTCCCCCCGGCCTGGCATGACACGCGAGAAAAAACCAGCACCCAGCCAATCCACTTAGAAAAGCGCACACAACACCCGCCCTCTTCCTCCTCGGCTGCCCATCCCCCATTGTGCCTCCGCCAGGCTGCAACACGGGACTCGCGCAACAGAAAGGAGCTGCCATTTTCTGTCCTTCTAACTCCCCTTTGCATTGTACACACACACACATATAGACGCACAAAAACAGGGAAAGGATTTGCCTCCTGTATGGCAGCCCGGGTGTCTGGGGCAACCCATGTGACCCCGAGACACACAGGGAGAGCAAGGGTGAGAGTCGTTGCCCAACCCCCCACCCTCCTCGGCCCTGTGGAGCGGTGAGGCCTGGCGAGGCCTCCGGTCCGCCCCAGCAGCTCCTCCTCCTTCTTCCTCCTCCTGCACACTAAACAGATTTTTTTTTTTTTCCTTCTCTCCGTTGCTTTCTTTAAGGTGTGCACACTCGTCATGAGAAACCGCCAAGTCACCACAACGACAAGAAGGAAGCCATGTTGTTATCAGAGAGTTGAGATATGAACACAAAAAAAAAAAAAAAGACAGACAGACAGAGCTTACCTCTGTGGATGCATGGCTGCCTGACACACTGTTATGTCAACACTTATGAAACATGGAGGACACTCTCAGCCGGGGAAAGGCTCCGCTCTTCAGGCGAGGCGATCGGGCCCCAGTGATGTCAGCCGGATCCTGACTGGTCGCTCTCCTCGCCGGCAGGATGCAAGGCCGCCTCTGATTGGCCGAAATGTTTCCTGAGTAATTATCTTTGTTCGGTGCAGGCAGGGGCAGCACTGTGAGTGTCAGAGACAGGGGAAGGAAAGAAAAAAAAAATAATAAGCAGAGAGCCAGGCCTAAAACCACAAAACGACACCATTAGCGTGAGTATTCTTGACGTACCGGCCCAGTGTAACAGTGTTTGAAGCTTCCACGTGTAGAACCTGGCCGTAGTTGTCTCATTTGGAGGCTTTAGAAGTAGTAGATATGGCAGCATGTAGTCTGTGAGGAGCAGGACACCATGGCTTCTCTGCACAAGCCTCCATGTTTTTTTGTGTGGAGAGGGCCTTTGTTTAAACTCCTCCCTCCCTCTTTGCTCTTCCCGCAGAAAGAAGAGGCTGTAGCTCCTCACCTATTTTGGCAGTTTGGCTTGCAATAAAAAAAAAGAAGAGGAGGAAAAAGACCTTGAGTTTTAAGTAGGCGATGCCTTTTTATGTCACGCGTTACTGTTGTTCATAACCTGAACATATAATAGACGAGCGAGTGTTTACTCACACACACAAATCAATCCTGTGTTTAGCTAATTATGGTAAAGAAAATGCAGACATTTTCCTGGTCTCCTCCTTCTCCTCCTCCATGGGGAGGAATGCCTAGATTTGAACACTGTAGGAGCTTTGTATAAAGTTTAAGGAGGGGCTTCCTCTTCAACAGTGATCATAAATCATTAAACACGAGGTTGTTCTTTTGACAAAACAAAGCAGTGAAATTAGCAGTAATTAAAAAAAAAAAAGTATCCAAATACTGTATAATAACCCTGCCATTAAAACAATATTTGTTTTCTCTTTTTAATCAGCTGTTGAGTACGGTTGCATTTGATATTGTTATGCCGGCGTGTGTTATATTGAAAGGTGTTTACGATTCTATAAAATGTAGACGGGGATTAATCGTTTAAAGTGAAAGCAATCCATTACAAAACCAACAAAAATTATAACACACTTTATAAGCCACAACCGTGTTAGAATCGCCCTAATTTTTCACTTTTTTGTGGACCCAATAGGAAACATTAAGAGGTCACTTTCAAAATAACGTAACAAACATTAGATATAATGGCTGTGGTCACAATAATTCTCGTCCCGATGCCGTTACAGACTGGATACCGCGAAAAAGATGTGCGCCCAACGTGGGGCTCGAACCCACGACCCTGAGATTAAGAGTCTCATGCTCTACCGACTGAGCTAGCCGGGCTGTGGCAACCTCTCTTTCCGCTGGGTACATAACGGTTACACTATAGTGCAGTCGTACAGTAAGGCGGTTTATAGTGACCTCTAGTGGTAGATAGACAATAATAAATGTGTTTTCTTGAACAGGATTTAGGTAGCTAAATCAACATGACGTTATCTCCAACGCTGGTTAACCGCTCGTGCCATAAACACCACAGATAAATGAACTTCACTAACTCACGTCAATTTGAATGATGGCTGTCGCCTTGCGTGTTTTGTTTTATTACAAAAGCTTTCTCTTGTTTGGACGGAAAACACCGCGCGCCCATCTTTGAAAATGGTGGATAAATTAGCCCGCCTGTTTGAGGGGGAGTATAAACGTTTCAGGGTTTGCTAATGTCTGCGTCCTGTAGCTTGAATTACCTGACCGCAGGTTTTCTCCATAAATCACCAGTAAACCACAATGGAGACGTGCTAAGGCCTCCACCATCTTACTGAATGTCTGATTATTGGCTTGGCTGCCCTCGTCCAGCTAACAAAGCGTAGCTTCTGATCTTAGCAACCGAATAGTTAAAGCTACATGCAGGTGAAATAAATTACCCCAAATCCCCCACCAGTGGTAAAGGCCTTCTCTTAATTATGGGTCGTAGGTTCGATCCCGGGCTCCTCCTGCGGTGCATTCAAAATCCTACCCCAGTATTAATGTGCAAAAACGTGTTTAATTTAAACTGAAACTGGTAACATACCCGTAGGAGGGGAATGGAATTACATCCACAACTTGAAATACAACATACAACATGCGGTATTATACAAATACCACAACAATAACAGCTATCAAATTGAACAAGCATACAGCATAGAAAACCGTTCTGTGATGGGTTTAACAGCAAGTTAACGGGGCTTTTTTTCTGCAATTAGTTTGCATTACATTTAATAAGCAAGTATTTTAAGAAAGCCATTGGGACACATACATAAAAAAAAGCTTGAGAGGGAAGTTGTTTTGACTTCATTGCTTCATGTAGGAACTAATGGACATGTAAAAAATGTTAGCAAAATTGTTAGCAATTATAAAAGGTGAAATACATACAATTATATTTTTAAAAACCCTTCCTTATATTGCATAGCCTCAAACCTGTCGTTTTTAATGTTTTGGAGTAGTAGTAGTTTATGAAGCACTGTTTTATTCAGCAATAACTTCATTGCGAGGATGCAACGAAATAGATGTATAAACAAAACTGTAATCATAAAGGTCATAAAACCGTAATTTGACTCAGGAACGTTTAACATTACACGTTAATACATTTGGGGGAATTCAGGAGCGGTCTTGGATGCCATTGCACCATAGGTGTAAATTCTCAAATATATTTTAAATAATGACATTACCATAATCCTGACGCTTTGGTGGATTATTCTGTAGAATCTGATGTATAATCCGACAGGCCTGTAATTTCAAATGATATCGTGCGGAAATACCGCACACAATTCCTCTCACGGTCACGTCTTTTGTTTGTGACTTGGGAAAATCCGACGCTTACGTGGAGTCCCTGAACGCAACGCGGGCCCGGGTTCTCCTTCTACGTCAATGACTCTGGGCGGTTCATGAATGGGGTTTTTTTTTTGGAGTGGGAGGGGCCTGCCGTCTTTACCAGGGCGGCGGGGGGGGGGGCTAAAAAAAAATAAAAAAAGAAAGTCGGTGTTGTGCTGTGGTGTTTTTGGTTTTGATGAACACGCTAGCAAAGCGGGTGAATGCGCGGAGCGGCAAACACCCCCCCCCCCCAGGAAAACAGCGACCCGGTGCGGCTAGCTCCAAGACTCAGTGACGGGGGGGGGGGCGGGTGCTTGTGGTTGCGGGGTTGCTGGTGGTGTGGAAGGGGGAGCCCCGGAGCCAGAGAAGTCGGGAGCCGCGTCTGTGAGCCATGGGGTTCCGCAAGAAGAACAAGAGCCCCCCGGTGCTGAGCCACGAGTTTGTGATCCAGAACCACGCCGACATGGTGTCGTGTCTGGCGATGGTGATCCTCCTCGGCCTGATGTTCGAGGTACTGTGTCACTTATCCTCATTTCACTATTCGGGTTATTCGGGTTGCCGCGGTTTAGCTCCGGTGATGCTAGCCGCCGCTAGCCGTCGTTAGCTGACATGACAGCCAGCACTGGTCTCCCCCTCTCTTCCCCCTTCTCGCGTGTCTCGCTGATCGCCACAGAAGATGGCGAGGAGGCGCAGCCTCTAACCGGTCGGATGGTGCTTCGCCTCCATCGGAAATCAATACGTGCGTGTGGCCTCTTGCTTGTAGCGTTTCGTGATGCCGATCAGCAGCAGCACCCCCCCCATCCCCCCTTTTTGGGGGGGCTGGACGGATCAGCTGAATGAAACAAAACACTAACCTCTCCCACCCCCCCAAAAATGGATCACATTTGGCTCAATAAACTACCTGTGAGGATGAAGATGAGCTATAGCTTAGTGCAGTTATGAATGCCTACACTTAAAGGGGGGGGTGGGGGGGTCGTTGCACACACTCACTGTACCAATGGTACTGAACTTATAATATAACGCATCCTTTTTTTACAAAAGACCCCTACAAGGAGCTCCTGGTGGTCCCCAGACCCCTCCTCACTAATTACACATGGACTATGTTACACCGGTCGACCACGTGTCTTTTCTGTTGCTGCGTTCCAGGTCACAGCCAAGTTCGCCATCATGTTCATCACAGTCCAGTACAACGTGACGCACGTCCTCGGTGAGCGGAAGTGTCTACGGATCCAGTTGCAACGTTACCGGATTTTCTGAACGAACCGTCAGCACTTATGTCGTTGTTTCCCTTTTGGTTTTGCAGATGAGAAAAGTGACCCGGTGAACCTCTACCAGTACGGCCCTAAAGATGCGGCCACCGTGTTTTTCTACCTTCTCATCGCGGTCATCCTCCACGCCTTGATACAGGAGTACATTCTGGACGTGAGTACATCGACGTTGTGATATCTGCACCTTGAGGTGTTCACGTCCCGTCCTGCTGCACGAAGCGCCGGCGCTGAAGAAGATGTGTGTGCTTCTGGTGACGTTGTGAGTGTTTGATGTCGGAACATAAGAGAAAGAAAGTCTCGTCTTCAACCGCTTATCCGTGGGTCGGGTCGAGGAAGGAGTATTTTTGTAGATTTTTTTTTTATTCCAAAAATAAAACACCTTTTTATGCACCGAATTCATAAGAAGGGAAGGTTTGTCTTAAAGGTTTGTCGCCCTTTAATAAAACAATCAGATCTTGAAATACAAATTCTGAGCTTTTGAAATTGCTATCATACTTCTCTGGTTTATGCTGTGAACTGAGAAACCGGTGTTTTTTATTGATTCATGGGGATCGATTGGCAGACTTGCATAATCATCTAATACTAAGCATCGTTTAGAAGAACGAGCCCCTCATATCTACGATTTCTGTTTGATTTCAGAAAATGAACAGGAAGTTGCACCTGTCAAAAACCAAACACAGCAAGTTCAATGAGTCCGGCCAGCTGGCGGCGTTCTACCTGTTCTCCTTCATCTGGGGCTGCAGCATTCTAACGGCGGTACGTACGTGCGGGCCGGGGGTCAGGGGTCACAGGTCATTGAGACAGAGTGTTCCCGCCCGCGTTAGTCGTCGTCGTCTTACGCCGCGTCTCTCTCTTTATCCAACAGGAGGACTTTGCAACAAATCCTACTTTCTTATGGGAGGGTTACCCACACACTCACATGGTGTAAGTCACAACATCTCAGTTTATTCCCATTTTAAAGGAGTGGAAATATGTTGAGCTTTTACAGGTTTTCTATTTAAAACATAAACTATTATTCTTTAACGTGCTGTGATTCATCTTATTATCTTGTATCAAATGTCCTTATCACAGCGCCGCTGTGTTTAAATCAATGTAACAGAACTGCACGTCATGCACAACGGCATCCGCCTCATATTAGTGTGGTATAACTTCTGTTGAACGACCCGCAGGCCGCCTCTCACCTCTGCTGCACGCCGTGTCCTCTGTCCAGTTTTCAGGTCAAGTTCTTCTACGTTTGCCAAATTGCCTACTGGCTCCACGCGCTTCCCGAGCTGTACTTTCAAAAAGTACGCAAGGTAAGGCTGAAAGTGAGACACGTGAACCCGCTGCTCTCCATCTAAAGATGGCGGCGGCGTGTTTTTTGTAAGGTCATTTAAGTAGTTCCGGACACAAACGCTCCTCCTGTTGTTTCATCTCCCCAGGAGGACATCCCCCGTCAGCTCTATTACATCTGCCTTTACGTTGCCCACATCGCTGGTGCCTACGTCTTGAAGTAAGTGAGATATACATTTACTCATGATCATCCGAAGAATGAGTAAATAAAATAATAATAAGTACTGAATGGTTTTCGCTTTCATCGGCTTTTGACTTTTATTGTCCTCACACAACCTCATAAAGATCCTTTATTAGCGTTTTCCTCTACTTGAATCTTAAAAAACACCACGCGTGAAACTGTATTTCCAGCCGTGGGCCAGAACATCTTATTTTATTATTCTTGAGTAGAACCAAGAGTCCCTTCTTTTTGATAATCTCCTTCCCTGTCGGACTACTGACCCCGAAATAGAGTTAATGTGAGCGGGCTGACATGGAGGGAGTGTCACCGCCACGCGTCCCCGCGGCGTCCTCACGTTGTCCTCTGTCCATCTGTGCAGCCTCCACCGACTGGGCCTGGTGTTGCTGGTCCCTCACTACCTGGTGGAGCTGCTGTTCCACGCCTCGCGCCTCTTCTACTTCAGCGACGAGAACAAGCAGAAAGGGTAGCGCCTCCAGTCTCGTTGTCGGCGTTGTTGGGGTTCGGCCCCTTACTGAGCCTGCGTCTCCTTCCCCCCCCCCTGCTCGTCCTGTACAGGTTTACTCTGTGGGCGCTCCTCTTTGTCATCGCCCGCCTCCTCACCCTCACACTCTCGGTGCTGACGTTTGGCTTCGGGCTGCCGCGCACGGAGAACCAGGGCTTCTCCCTCGCAGACGGCAACTTCAACGTGCTCACGACAAGGCAAGCGCGCGCGATGGCAAACCCGCGGGAACGCACGCGTTTAAACTTGGAATCCCTTTGACCTCTGTGGTTCTTAAATGTGCGTCCCCTCCCCCCCTCCCCCCTCCTCAGGATGAGTTGCCTGGCTGCCATCTGCCTGACGCAGGCTTGGATGATGTGGAAATTCATCAACTTCCAGTTGAAGAAGTGGCGGGAGCACAGCCAGAACCAGGCCTCCAAGAAGAAGGCGGCGAGCCCGAAGAGCAAGCCTCACAAGAGGGAAGCTGCCAGCAGAGGTGAGCGCTGAACCCGCTCGCTCAGACACACCGGATGTGGGACCCCGTTTCCTTTTCCCGCCTTTTCCTGGGTTTTTCTTTCTGAAAACCGCGTTTTGCGTCCGATGTTTCTGACGGCTTGTCTCGTCAGCAGGAGGTGCTTCCAACGGCGTCGCCAAGTCCGAGGACAAGACGTCGCCGCGGCCGCGAAAGGCCAAAGCCTCGTAGAGACGGGCGAGTCGGAGGAGGAGGAGGAAGCGAGCGAGGGAGTGCTGACGATTACGTCTTTACGCGACTTCAAATTCTGCCCACTTGCTCTCCAAAACACTCCCAACCGTCCCCCTTTGAGGTTGGAAGTTCAGTGTCCCTGCTAGAAGTGTCTGTTGCTCATACGTGGTTTCTTTGGAGATGGGACTGTGGGGGAGGAGGGGGAGGAGGGGGGGTGTGATGGATCAACATGAGCGACTACAAAGTGTCCTTCCGCGTGAAACTACGATCACCTGCCTGGGTACTTTTGAACTTCACCAATTCGACATTGTATCAGTTAACGTCCCCGTGACTCACCGAGGGGATTTTGGCTTCAGGGTCGTGTAACATTGTGTCAACGAACAGGTTAACTAAGTGTTGGGGTCATTTTAGGTTTGGGCCTTATTCAGTAAAAGGACGAAGGCCTTTCCTTGGAGACGGCCCTTAGGAAAGGGAAGGATCCTCAACGTCTCTGCTGTTGGGGCGCGTACCGCGCTGCCCGCCGTCTTACCGCCGCCATTCGACAGCCTCCGCCTTTTCAGAACCCCCCCCCGACGTGTTACAGCGTGGAGGCGCTTTTGAGATGTCTTGTTTTCTGTTTGCATGCAGTGAAGGACTTTCTCGCTGCATGATGGGAAACTGGGGCAAGAAACTGCGTTTGAGGCTGCGGCCCAGTCTTCAAATGGTCAAAGCATGATGGTTCAAGGTTAAAGACACACAGACACACACACACACACACATTCAGTGGCCTTTTTACAACCGCTGCGAGCGGTTTGAGTTATTTATTTTTTGCCGCGAAAGACGTTATTATTTTTCCACGCTTTGACCAGCAAACACAGCGGTACACAGCGTCGATCCAAACGGTACAATCTTTCTCCAAGTGTCCTTATCATGCCGGTGTCGCTTCGTTTCTCTCGGGCGTCAGGGCACTTAAACCATGAGTTCCACAACCTCGGCGTGCGCGTGCGCGGGATGCGTCCGCGCGTGAGTTTGCTGCGCGTGAATGACAGTGGTGATGGCGGCGTTCGCGGCTTGTCCCGTAAAACAATCGCGTGCCGAGCACGAAACGTTCCACTCTGCTCACCGACTTCTGCCCCGTTTGTTGTCGTGTTACGCAATCGCGTCCTTTTAGCGCAGTAGGCCCCGCCCACCTCCCCCCGATGCCCGATTGTTCTCCTGTGCGCGAGAGAGAGATTGTGTGTGTTTTCTGGGTGTTTTTGTTTGCGTCACGCGTGGCATGTTCCGTCCTTCCCGCTTCACCGTCTCAATGATCGTGACGTCGCTGCGGAGCCGCCGGACCCGGAGTGCCGCCGCGCTGCCAGTCCGCCGTGCAGGAGAAGCTCTGTGCAGAGGCGGCCGTGCCGGCCCGTCCACAGCCGCAGTCCCGGTGCGCAGCGCGGACGAGATGCGCGCGTTTCGCTCCTTCGGAGGACTTTGGTGGCGTTTTTGACGCCCGGTGTCGGCGCGCGGCGGCGGCGTCGTAGGAGGGAAAGGAGGCGCAGAGGACGGATGTGCCGGCCTGATTAAACTGTCTCAGATGTAAAAGAGTAAGAAAAAAAGAAAAGAAAAGATTTAACCCTACACTGTTCTGAAATACGTGTCAGATTTTTAAGCTATTTTTATAGAGCGGAGCCTGTTGGACATCACCGTTGTTCAGTACACACGTGTGAATATTTGTTTTGCATCCATAATGATCCGAGTTGTTGTTGTTTTTTTACATACGAATGAAGCTTGCTGAACTGTTGGCGTGTGCGTTGTGGTTTGAGTGTAAACGTTTGTTAAGCCCAATGGTTGCAAAGTAAACTGGGTTGTAAAACACGACGCTGCAGCTTTCACGCGTCGGTTCGAGTCTACAACCAGGAGCGCAAACACAGGTGATTCTGTGGATGCAGAACGAAACCTTTTGCAGTGGACGGGTCCTTTTTCTCACTGACGTCACGCTGTTCAAATCTCGTTTGAAGCGCTTGGCGGCCCCGTCGGACAATCGCCTGTATAATCCCGCAGGAATGCACTTCCTCTGCATAACGTGTCACATCACTGCTCACTTAAGCTGTTTCTGCGCTGATTCTCAATTCACTAACTGATCGAAGTTACTCGATTTTTTTTTCAAACGTGTGCATTTTTATAATTGTTGAAAAAAAAAAAAAAGGACTGCGATGATTCAACTGTATGAGCAACCTCTAGGTGGCAACACGCTTTGACCATGAGATCACTTTAGAGAAGAAACAAAAGAAGAAACCACCACAGCAATTCTATTATTTCATTCTGCGTTGGAGGAGATTTGCCTCTATTTTGTCCTACTTGTTCATAGATGTTATATTTCCTTTTTTAAATATATTGTCTCTAAATTGATTTGGTTGTATATATTTATGCGAATGTGAGTTCTTATAATTTTCCTTTTGTCACAATTTTTTTTAATTTCATGTTGGAATAAAGGTTTTATTCATTACACACACTTAAACCTGTTTTTTTCCTTGTAAAATTTTTTTGTTTTACAAAAGAGAGCAAAAACCTCACGGCGTCACGGTGCTCAGTACATTACGACAGCTGCAGATAATCATCCAGCCCCGAGGTGAACCAGCCGTTAAAACCAATCCTCCTTTTTATACGGCTTCCCTCTCGCATCACACCTGTCCACCTTCCTCCCCTCGAAGACGAGACACCCGCCTGGATTTGAAACGCTCCTAATTTATTCTACCCTTTGGGGGCCGGTGTCAGGAGACACGAGGAAATATTGGACGAATCCTCCTCTCGCCTAATTACCACCAGGGGGCAACGCTGGGCCTTTTGCCTGAGGGAGGCGAGCAGTCTGCAGGGGCATAGCTGCATGCAGACACTGCATTAATAAATCACTAGTGAGAGTGAGAAAGACAGAAACGTTGTGTTATCACACCGCGTGCGACGTCCACAAACCAAATGAAGCAGCCGGCGGCCGTTTATCCAAATATGGGAGTGCTTCTCGGACCTCCGCCTTGACTCTCCGCTGCTGTTGAGCAATTTGACCGGTGAGCTGCAAACGTGACATCTGCGTCCGTGGGACGGCGAGGTATGAGCACAAAGCTGGAGGAGAGACACCTGCAGCTCACTGCTAATGTGTTGTGTTGTTTCAGAGTAATGGGTTTTCTCTGAGCGAGCAGACAGCATGATGGATCAGTGGGAACCAGAGAGGCGGGCCGGAGCGCTGCAGGGTCAGCACAAGGACAGGAGTTCACACACTCGCTCTCCATCACACACACACACACGTATACACTGTGTGGTTGTATCCAAAACACACAACCTAAACCCACTGAGTGCTTCCAAGGCGAACTTGCTGAAAGAGTCCAACAATGACCGGCTGAGGGAGAGGAGGGGGAAAAAAAATCAGCATTCCCACTTTTTTTTTTTCTTTAATTCCTCCCCTTCATCCAACGAGGATAAATCTCGTTCTGAATTGTCAGTATTATGGGTAATTTCCATATAAATTAGCTTCATTAAAAGGGGAGTACTTTCTTATTTAACGAAGCTCATTTGAAATTCTGTATTTAATAAGACATGCAATCCCAGACTCGCAGGCTAATAGCCAACAATTAGCAGGACTTTGTGTGCGTGGGAGTGTGCGAGTGTGTGCGTGCTCCTTTGTGCTGTTAAAAGCGCGTGTCGGTGTAATCTCTCTTGGATATTGCCGGCCCTCCGTTTTATTTTCGTTGATTGTCTCAAATGAGCAAAATTGGGCAGCAGCTGCTCTCCCAGCCGGCTTTACTTGCTGTGTGACCCATGAACCAGGGGGAGATCTGGATGGAGATCTAAGACATTGGTGCCCTGGAGGCTGCTTGTGAGCGAGCAGACGAGAGGGGAGTGTGTGAGGTGAGCAACGGAGCAGGTGTCGACCAATGAAGGGCAGTGGGGGGGAACATCTGGAGGGAGCGGTGGCACGGGAGTGCGAGGCCGACAGGGAGTGAAGACCAAATGGGTAAAGGAGGAGAGAGGGCTGTGATTGACAGCAGAGCGAAGCCGGATAATGGAGGGGAGAGCAGCGCCCTAGCAGTGTCCATCAGAGCCAGAAATGCAAATTAGAGATAAAGAGGCTGCAGACAACAGTGAGACAAATGAGGGAGACCGGAGGGAAGAAGAAAGACACATCGGAAAGGTTGTGGATATATTTTTCATCCAGCATCACACTTCATTCAACAGCCCGACTGATTAAATATCCAGCTTGCTATCCGGTTTATGTGTTTTTATCAGCTGTTTTGAAAATTCATATTTAGTAATAGCTTGACAAAAAGCAAAAATACGTCCTGATACATAAATAAAACAGTTCTATGGCAAAACATTTGAAAGGGCATATAAACAAATTTAAATGGGCATCTTGCAAGAAATGAAGATACTTGTTTTCTCGGTATCCTGTTGCACACTTTCATCTCCTGGAGGCAATCACCTGCAGGTGATCTCAAACCGAGAGCAAAGTCAGATCCAATCATCAGACCACGACGCCGTCATTGAGAACAGCGATGGCCAAAAACTTGGCTAGCATTAACACATCTGTCCCTGCGTGCTCTCCAACCTGGATCGATCACAGCCTGGATTTGCTTCGCTGTCACTCGCAAGCTTTGCAATCATTCGGACATCGCACAGAGTCGCGAGCATTTCCGTTGCCAACATGGCCGCCGCTCCCAACGGGGTCACATCTGGCGGCTGCAGCTCGCCGCCAACAGCGCAAAGTCTGGCAAAAGTGCTGACGGAGCTTACAGCGGAGGTCGGGCGCTTTGCTTCCATGGCGACGCCGTTTAGTTCGACTCTTAGCGGGGGGAGGGAGGGGGGGGGGGGGGGGCGCTCACATGCACCAACGTGAACTAAGTCAACAAACCCAAGAGAAGCTCGGATTACAACGCACACAGAGGGAGAGACTTCGCCCCTCTTTGTCTTTACACTGCAACTTAGTTGTTTGAATCCGAGCGCGCACATCACGCCTTTCGGCTTCTTTGTGCGGTTGTGTACTTGTAGAACAAACCAGTGCACGAGACGACCCCGCGACAGGCTGCCGAGTGACGACCGCAGTCTCAGCACGTGCCGCCTTTTACGCCTCAGGCGTTCACATTGATCGAAACAGAAATCAACAAAAGAAATTTGCAGGGGAAGATGATTTATTGTCGTCCTCTGGAAAGTGTGGAAGGCTTTCTGTGTGCGTGCGTTTTTGTGTGTCTGCGTCTGCGCCAGCAGGCTGCGCATCTGGAACACTTTGTCTTCACTGTCTTCACCCTCCTACATGCATGTGCATGCACACACGCACACACAGTCGCTAACTGGGCCAGTCGACGGCGCTGGCGGGGTCACGTGTGTTTATACAGTCTCATCTGTCCTTCTCTCGGTAACACACTTCCGCGCAGACGGTAAACACACAATGCCCGGCTGCATGTTGCCCTCGCGCTCCCTCCTCGGCCCTCTGAGGGGTTTGGTTTTTCCAAACAGAGACTTTTGAGGTTTTACAGACGGCGGTTCTACCACTGCCCCCCCGTGTTGTTGTTTTTTTGCTTTATCTGCTAAATCATGTTGTATTGATTTTGCGTTGAATGATGAGTGAGGTGGGTTTCAAACCCAGAGGTGGAGGCGGAGGGTGGTGGTTAAATGTGACGGGAGCAATATGGTGGATTTTTAAGCGATTGTCTTACACGGCTCCACCTTTGCCCATCTGCCTTTAATTGTCCCAATTATCTCCCGCTTTCAAATAGTTTCACACATATGAAGATAAAGGTACGTATCAATTCTAGTGCAAATGAGCAGCTCATCAGAGATGTGTGTGTGTGTGCGTGTGCATAGTCGAGGTCACCTGTTCCTCAACTCAGCCTCAGAGTCCAAATTGCAACAGTATTTTCTGCATACGGGTTTCCTCTTTTCTGTCTCCCCGTGTCTCACATCTGTGTGTGCGTGTGTGTGCGTGTGTGTGCGCGTGCACGCTGTTCCTCCTGAAGCCTCATTCTTACCTGTTTGGAATTTTAAACAGCTCCCCTCTTCCTCTCACCTTCTCGCAGCTCGGCTCTCAGCAGTCCCCTAAATTCTCACTCAAGAATAACCGATTATTGTGATGAAGGAAATGTGCGGATGATGAGGGTGATATTAGACACGAAGTGTGCTCTGTTGTGTCTTTGGGGGTTAGGGTCAAGTGAAATAGTGAAGACACACTTCTCTGCTGGTGAAGTGTGTGTGTGAAGGCATTTGTGTGTTTTCTTTTCGCCTCAGGCAACACTATAGAATTTTCCAAATGATGGACACTGAGTACCATAATAATGTGGTTTTAAATATTGTGGACGCCAGATGGCTCGAGGAAAACAATTATCAACTGTCTCACGCTGAAGAGGAAGGACTAATGAGCAATGACGTACTCCACCACAAAAAGCAGTATTTTCATACAGTATGTGTCTAATCTTCGAAGCTGTTTTATAATATCCAAAGAATAAACACAAATTAGATCATTGGTAGGCAAAGCTCTAAAACCAGTCTAGATTCCAGTCATGCTTGAACCGCGGCGTCACGGCCTCGTAGCATGGTGACGCCGTCGGGGCGTCGGCAGGAGACCTCGAGGGACGCTTGTTTGATGAGTCAACGGGTGACGCTCAGCACTCGTTAGACTCGTCGGACTGAAACACCCGTCGCCCGGGAACCGTTTGGTTGTGAGAATTCTTTAAAACTCCTCCGGCCTCAACCGGACGCTCTCATGCCAGGAAAGGCTCACAGACTGAGGGCAAAAGGTCACCTCCATGACGACGAGGTCGGCTGTAAAAGGGGTTTGGCCCTCTCTCTCTCTGCTCCACTGTGTGTGTGTGTGTATGTGTTTGGTGTTACGGGTCGTGACTCACAACACGCTTGTCACGTGACGCGCTTTCCCACATGCAGTATCTGACACGCTGACGCTGTTGATTTACATACGACTCGGTTCTTATCGTTGCACATGCAGGACACACCCACAACAGAAGCGGTCAGCAGAGAAAAGTGAAGCTCGCCGCGAAGGTCAGCGTGAAGCGACTGTGATACTCCGGGTTGCAGTAAAGAGTTCTGTTTTTTTTTTTTTTAAGTGGGTTGTGTGAACTGAACTGAAAGGGAAACTTGGACACAGTGTTTTGTCAAAAGAGTCTCACAAGTTTCAGTGACGCTTCCCATCGGAATGCGCTGTGTGACGGCTGAATGAAGCAGCTAAAATACGAAACATTGATTTATTTAGGGGGCTTTTGTTGTGGCTCAGACACATGTTGCTTCTGCACATTGATGCCCAAAAAACGTTCTCCTGCTTCTGAAGAAAAAAGCATTTCTCTTCTGTCCGACTGCATTTAGACGTTAGACGCATTATTGCTTATTGCTTCCTCTATGCATGTGTGTCTTTGAGCGGGTGATCGTGTGTGTCACAGGCTTACAGTGTTCCATTAGTTCTTTTTGGGGAGCGGTTGGTTTCTTTGCTCATGAAATACACAAAAGCGACAAACTTTAA